CCACCGTGCCGCGCCCCCAGGCTGGACAGTAGCGCGTGGCACTCCAGCAGCGTCCCGCCGCTCTGCACCAGGTCGTCCACGATCACCACGTGGCGTCCCTGGGGCTCCCCCTCCTTCAGCCGCACGATGCGCTTGGCGCCGTCGCGGACCTTGGTGCAGATCACCTGGTGGGGCGGGAGGGCAGGGGAGCGGGGCCCGCGGTCAGGCTACAGGATAAAACCAGAGCAGCTCAAAAAAGCGGGGTTGAAGCTTGAGCTCCCCTGGCGCACTGGCGTGTGCGGGCATCCGTGGGGCCTTTGCAATTTTGGTTGCCGGTGTTTGCAAACACAATCCCACTTGCGCGGACATCTCCATGCCACATTGACGCGACCTGCGTCGTGCACTCGGAGCGCCCCACGTTCGCCCGCATCTTGCCTTGCGCGCGGGCGCCGGAGTCCAACGCGCGCGCCCCTGATTCACCTCACCTCTGGGTACCCCTCGTCCTTGAATTGGTAGTGGAAGCGCTTCCACGCGCCCTCATCGGGGTAGGCTATTGTGACGTGCTCGTGGTCCGGCAGCGCGCGCAGGCGCTCGAGCAGCAGCGGGATGCCGCTCTCAAACAGCGGCAGGACGCCGTCCCCAAAGTAGAAGCGCTCCTGAGGGGAGGGTGCGCATTGGGGCGTAGAAGGGTGTGGGCGAGAAGGGCGAGGAGAGAGCTTGTGTGTGTGTATGTGGGTGTGCATATGTAAGAGAGAGGTCACATGTTGTGTTGAGCGGGTCGACAGCTCCTGTGACATCCACTCCGTCAATGATGAGGTGACCCGGAACCCCCGACTGCAGTTGAACCCTCTACTGCAGTTGAAGCCGAGCGCGACCAAGACCCTGCATACGGCGGCCGAGCGACACCCCGCGCAGCGCGGCCAGGCGTCGCGAGGTCTTCCGGACGCTGGCCCCAAACCCTGCGGTGGGGCACGTGCTGTTGGGGTCCAGGGGCCCCGCGACTGCCCCCCGACGGCGCGCGCGCGGGGGGCCCACCTGCAGCGCGTGGATGTCGAACACCACCAGGCTGGTGGGGCCGCCCCTGCTCGGGGGGATGTTTGACAATATGCGCGCCAGCGTGAACGCGGTCGCCACGTCGCCCTCCGTCTCCACCTTCAAGGGTGGCGAGGGCGGAGGGGGAGTCAAAGGTGTGAAGGCTGCCTTGCGCAGCTGCCGGCTGTGTGCAAAGCACCAGTCTTGGCCGCGGTCAAGCGCGCGTGTGCTGCATCGCGTGCTGCTGCTCCTTGCTGGTCCTGTCCGACCCTTGCGCCAGGCCTGACCCACACCAGCCGCTTGCAGATGCAATCAAGGCCTCGCCTAGCCCAGCTGCCCAGGATGACCGCCCTCCGCGCACCCGCTCTGCTGTGCCGGTGGGGAAGAAGGGCAACACCAGTGTGAAGCTGGATATGAACAGGCGCGGCAGTGCGTAGATGATGGATATCTGCTCGAAGATCAGCGCTGGGTCGTGGAACGACGCCAAAAAGCCGACGTGGCGGTTGCGGATGCGGGTCGCGTCGTGCACAAAGAGGTCAGGGAATCCATCTGGAAACGTCCTGTGAGGGCAAGCGCGGGTGCGCCGAGAAGCGTGTGGATGCCGGTGAGAGACGCACAGAGGGGCCCCATGGGTCGCCGCGGCCGTGCTGGTGAGACGTCCCCTTCGTGTGGTGTTCCACGGTCGTGAAAAGCGATACACCCAACTAGGCCGAAGTTCTGCCATGAGCACATGCCAATGTGGGTCATCAATGAGCTGTGCGCTCAAGGCTGGGCGGAGAGTGCACGTCGCAGCGGGGCGCCGCTGCCGCTGCTCGCACCCCTGCACGACGGCTTTTTGAGCGGCCCGAGCACGTGGGTGCCCTCCAGGCAATCACAATGAATGCAACATCATCCACATATGCCATACTCACTTCCATCGAATCTTTCCCAGCGTCACCGCGCCATCCGAGGCCTCCGCAATCTTCTCAGCCAGCTCTTTGCAGTCTGGCGCATAATAGAGCACGCAGTCCCGCCGTAACGCTTCTGGCATGTCGTCTGGGTTCACGTTGCTGACGATCCGAAAGTCTTCAAGCGTCGACAGGGCGTAGCTCTGGGCACGCGCTGGGTCCCCGCCGGAGGAGGTTACGGGGGCCGTGGCCGTGGCCATTGTCTTATGACGTAAACTAGGACCAGGTATACTCGCACGGGCTGGGCCGCAGACGGGGGCCGGGGATCTGCAGCAGCCGCGTGTGATCTGCTCCGTAGGAGCTCGCATGCGACCGGATAAGAATAGGAGTGGCAATCATATGCCCAGGCCGCACGGGCAGAACGTCGTTCTGGGGCACTGGGGTAGCAGGCCTGGGCGCTTTGTTTGTCGGCAGCAGCCGTCCCACATGCACACCTCGTCGCCTTCTGCAGCGTCAAAGCGGCTCGCTGCCTGTTCTGACTGGAATGGCCATGAACAACATCTTTTGCGGGCTCGCAATCAGGTGATTGCGATACAGACAAGGGCCCGCGTCCCTCGCCCCGGGTGCCCAGAGTTCGTTTGTCAGGTGACCCACGTGGGTGGTACTTCTAGTCAACCCTGCTGTGTCTGATGTGATGAAGTGGCTCCCTGAAGACTGCTTGTTGCTAATGAATGAACAGACAGCTGCTCATCGGCGATCGGGCGATTTTTTAAAACACCGGGCGCCCGCATCCTGTGCAGCCAGGCCACTTGAAGACATTGCACCTTGAGCCAGTGGTTGTGACTTTGTGTTTGTATGGATTGATGCTTGGGCTTGTCGGATTACACACAGCATGCTGGTCTTGCATGTCCAGCTGCCAGTAGCCTGCGGCCATCGACCCAGCCCTGCAATGGCAGGGGCGAACTTTCCAGAAAGTAGATGGCCAACTGCCGGCAGCGGCCAGGCCTGTACCTCTCTCGCACCCAATCACCTCGGTTCTTGTACACTGTCATGTCTGCAACTCTCATGTGCAGCCATCCCAAAGGTGGCGCCACAGCTGTCCGCTCAGTGAGAGAGAGAGACGATTGACGCACCTCCTCTTGACAACACCTCTCATGCTAGTCATCGCGCCCGCCCGAAAGGAGCATCATCAGCCGCAGCAGGCTCGTGTAAAACCAGACCAGGGTGAACAGTGTGCTCTGCAGGGAAGCGGAAGTGGCAGGGGGAGAGGGTGCGTGGTGAGCGAGCAAGGGCGCAATGATAAGGCACCACGAAGACGAGGCGGCGAGGGGACCGGGATTGTAATGTTGGCCGGCGTAAGAGCCTCTCCGAACATCCCTGATGAGCTTCAGGAGCTTGGGCTTTACTTGCATCGAAGGGGTGCTTGCCAGCACCCCGTTGGTTAACAGCCAAACATTCAATCCCATGCACCCATCCTTGCGCTCCCACAGCCCCCAGGTGAGCATGCCCGAATGCTGCCCCAAAACCATCCAGCTCGCCCACTGACCTGGGCCATGTACCACTCAAGCTTTTCAGAAACGGCGCGCGAAGCCGCCGCCTGCTTGACATAATCAAAATCCAGCAGCAGGTTTGCCGCCGCCAGCCCTGCAGAGACGAGGCTCACGCCAATGGCGAGGGGCCCTGCAGGTCCCAGCCACAGAGGGCAGCGACGATGAGCAAACGGCATGCGTTGTGCTAGGGCGAAGCGGGCGAACGCAAAGCATGGAGCACAAGCAATCAGCCTGCAGCAAATCAGTGACACGCCTTGCGCCGAGCCTGCCCTGTATGCCGGCCGCACCGGAGGTCAAGAGTGAGGGGAAGCGGATGCCAAACATGCCCATCACCAGCACTGCTAGCATCGATATGAAGAAGCCGCCTGTGGCTGCCCGCACAGCGTCGCCAAACTGATCGGTAACCTGGAGCGAGACAGGTGCAGGGAAGGGTGTCAGCCGCATACGAAGGGCAGACAACGTTCCGCCACAAAATTCGGCCGCACACTGCTCGCCTCCTGCCGTCCCAGTGTCCACCCCTCCCGTGCGCCGCGCACGCACCCGGATCAGGCCGCTGCGCAGGCCGAACAGCAGGCTGCCCGCCGTGCACAGCGTCAGCAGCACCGTGTTGAGCGCGATGCCCGGGACCATGAGCTCCGCGTACGCGCTGACACCCGCGAGCGCGACGCCCTTGGCCAGCGCGTACACGGGGCCCGTCACGCCGCTCCACAGCGGCTTGAACATGGACGCGAGCGCGCTGACCATGGCCACGATCCCCGCGACCTTCGTCGCGCCGAGCACCGCGCCAAACGCGGCCGGCCCGCCGGTCAGCAGCTGCACCCAGGTCGCGGCCGCCGAGGCGGCGCAGAGCGCGAGGAGCGCGGCGGTCTTGTTGACCGTGCCGTTGAGGGTCAGCGGCCGCTTGGCCGCGTATCGCGACTCAACGATGGCCTCATCCAAGTTTCCAAAGCCGGTAAACGCTGGGTTGGTTGTGCTGGGTGCAAACACAGCCGCTATGCAGAGTCGGCGATGCCGAGGCGCAGCCCGTGCCGCCACCGCCTTGACATGATGGTTGCGGAGCACGACTGCATGGTGAGAGCATAAGTGCAACGCTGTGATGGTGAATTACGCAACCTAGTGGTGCGAAAAAAGCAAGGCGGCGCACTGAATCGCAGCGCAGCACTGCGAGCGGCGTGCGCTACTTCACCCTCCCAGCACCACAGGCTGCGTGTGTGACTATCAGCTTGGCACAGTTGAGCAGGTTTGTGATAAAATCAAGCATGCAAAACAGTGTGCTCTCACCACTGGGACAGCGGGCTGCCAACATTGGTCTTGCTCGAACCGCGGCTAACTCGTGCGCCAGAACCGCCTTCATGTCACTCCAATGCAGGCCTTATGTTGATGCTATTCAGCGGACCTAGCAGGGCGAGATGTTTGGCATGCGACAGCACAAAAGCAGCAGCAAGGGGATGCACAGCGTTGTGGATGGGCTTCTAGACTCATAGACTGTTGATGTGCACGGCGTTGAAATTCAGGAACACCTGCTTCGTACCGGTAGTCAGAGCAACGTTTACGGCAGCGTGTGAAGGTTGTTTCGGGACGGGATGCGTAAAAAAGTAATCGCAAGGGTTCGGTCGCTGCGCAGGCCTGTGATCGCAGCGCCGCGATTCTGGACTGTTCCGCATGCTGTGTCCTGCATGTGAGGCCAACATGTGCATGAGCAGGAGGCTTGATCGAGCAGCAAGCTGGAGTGTGCGGGGACACAAGGGCCCCTATCGGAAGAGTTTCCGTCACCCCATGGCGTATGCCCCCACGTCGCGCACCTGATGAATGCCATGTTGCCTATGTTGACCTCTAGCGCATACACACTGTTTGGTGCTCATGGATAGGTGAGGCGGTCTAAGAGCAATGCAAACGCCTGCGCCCATTCAATGCTCACGTCGTCAGAATTGTAGCAGAGGAAACTCTTTCGCTGAAGACATGGTGCCTTGGCGATCACAGCACTATGGCCATCACAGTGCCATGGCCATGAGGGTGAACTGCCATCGAGCATGAGTTTAGAGCCCTTGCAAGGACGGTGTTGGTCGATTATGGTCGAAGTTGCAGCATCAAGGATCGAGTTGACCAACGCCTTGTCTCGGCGTGGACGCACCCGCGCTGCACTGCGCGCAAAACTGTAGTTTTTGCAGACCACAGCCAACATCGCACGGGCTCGACTGCCCTTCGGGCCTTGAAAGTTGACCGGGTGCTTGCAGTGCCAAAGATCATCGGGCAGCACGGGTGGGGCAAGTGCTACCAAGCTTCGCGGCAGCAACCAACATTCGACAGAACAATTCGGATGATGTACTCAAATTAAAGTTGTGCTATATCGTAGCAGCAAGCCTTGTGTTGTCTCGCCCTTTCACACACCACACAAGATGAACGTGCAGGCGTTCGGGAAGGCGCGTGCCTTCACAGCTGCTAGATCCCAGAAGCGGTGAGTTGCAGGAGCTCAATGTGCCAGGCGCAGCGCTTGCGGGGCGACCTGCCTGCAGGGCTCCCCACTCAGCAAGCGTTGCTGTGGTCCCCTGCGCAGGAGCTGCGTACGCACGCGCGTGGTGGTCAAGGCAGATGCTGAGACCGCCACCAAGGTAGGCCATCGACGAGGCTGCGGGGCTGCCGGAAAGGATCACGCAAGGTGTGCGAGTGGGCAAGCTCAGATGCAGCCACCCCACCCTCGCTCTGGGACGAAAAAACCAATAATGACATCGATCTATAATTTAATGTTACTCAGGGCGGGCGCAAGCTGGGTCCTCTGGAGCGCGGCGGCACCCTCAGCGGCGCGGACGCGGCTGGCAAGGTGCGTGCCTGCAACGCCCGTGCATGCTGCCAGCAGTGTATGGGGAGGTGGTCACACCTGGTATTGGTCCTTGTACTGGCCACCTCGAGCCTGTTGCCAGACAGCAGTCGGCGGCAGGGTGGAGCGCTGCAGGGGGTGCTGTGGGTTGTGCCTCAACGCCTGCGCGCGCCCTGTGTTCCCCTGGCACGGCTACAGGATGCCGGCGAGCGTGCCAAGCAGATGATGGCGGGCGAGGCGAAGGCGGGCGAGTTCCTCCAGATCAGGGACGGCCGCTTTGTGGACGACCGGTGGGAGGGCGGCCGCTGGAACCTGTCCAAGTTTGCCAACGCTGCCGGCGAGACGGACTGGGACAAGGTGTGTGCGCGCACTGTGCATGCCCATGTCTCCGCTTGCACGCGTGCGCATATCACATACAAAGAGGTTCCGGCGAAGAGAGGGTGCTTGTGAGCGCTGGCACATGCGCACCCGCATGCAGCCATGTGTTTTCGGATGTGGGCAGCTGCGCCGGGTTGCTTGAAGCGGCATTTGCCCAGAGTGGCGGCGAACAAAGCAATGTGAGAGCACCAGGTCTGGTGGCCACTCCAATCAGGGCTTCCTAGCTCAACAGGTTGCTGTTGATCACCCGACCAGCGGAGGTGCACAGCGCCCAGCCTCGACTTTTTGATTTGTTTTTGTTTTTTGTTGCGCCGCAATCGCTGCACGACACCGACGACCCCCAGTTCCGCCCCCCCCCCCACACACACACATGCATGCGCGCACACTCAACACACACAACACACGTACACACACACACTCTTACACACAGGTTATCGACGCTGAGATGGCGCGCCGCAAGCTGCTGGAGGACTCCCCCATCCCCTCCACCAACGAGGACGCCGTGATCTTCGACACGGCCGAGATCCCGTGGTGGGCCTGGGTGCGCCGCTTCCACCTGCCCGAGGTGAGCAAAACATGGGGGGTGGAGGCTGCGGAAGGGGGCGTGGAAGAAGGCAGGGGCATCAGCAGGCAGGCGGCCTGTGCAACGAGGCAATCGGACGGGGCTAGGCGTGCGTTGAGGCGCCATTGCAGTCTCGCAAAAGGGCATGCGGCAGCTGTGTATGGCTTTGATTCTCCCACAGTTGGAATGCGCTGCATTCCCTGTATAAACCAGGAGGGGCAGGCATGCTTGCCGGCTGGACGAATGCAAGGCCTTTCCGCACACACACTCAAACTCGCGCGCGCTCTCCACCTTGCCACCCACCTCCCAGGCCGAGAAGCTCAACGGGCGCGCGGCCATGGTGGGGTACTTTGCGGCGCTGGCGGTTGACCAGCTGACGGGGGCGGGGCTGCTGGACCAGCAGAACAGCTTCCTGGGGAAGGTGCTGCTGCACGTCGCAGTGTTCGGCATCCTCATCATCAGGTGCGGCCTGTGTACGCGTGCGTGCGTGCCGGAGAGTGATGGGTGGGGTGAGGTGTCTGTTTTCGTGCTAGGTTTTTATGTGGTTGTGTGTGTTGTATGAGTGTGTGTGTTTTGGGCATGTGGGGTGTGTGCGAGTGAGTGTGTGCGTGTAAGGGCACAGGCACGCGTGTGTCCAGCAATTCTCTGTGATGGGAGGGCAGGTGAACGTGGATGTGTGGGTGCACGCGCTCCAAAAGCACAGGCATGTGGTGCAGAGCACCCGAAAAAAAAGGCAAGGGCTTTTTGTGTAAAAAAGCGCCTGCAGGACGCTCACTCGCCTGGCCTCTCTCACTTTTCCTCGGACTGCCGCCGCACTCGAGATCCATTCTGGCTCCTCCGCACACATCCCCAGCAAACCCCTGGCTCTGCGTCCGCGCCCTGGACTGCGCCTGACCCCTCCGCACCATGTCCCTCTCCGCCCCTCCCCCCTATCACCTGCCAGGACGACCTCGGACCTGGGCAAGTACAAGAACCTGATCGACGAGGCCACCTTCTACGACAGCCAGTGGAACGCCGCCTGGGTGGGCGTGCAGCGGCCCAGCGAGAAGGAGCAGTAGGCGGCCCGGGCGCACCTTGTTACGGTTCTAGTAGTTACGGCGCAGCGCCCGCTTAGGGCTCAGCGACCCAGGGCATACCCGAATCGGCCCCGCGGCGCCTGTAAACCGGCACAGAAATTCGGCGCGGCGAAAGAATGCGTATGCACACCCCTAAAAATACGGACGCAAGCCGGGGGACCCGCGGCGGCCGGAGTCCCGCCCAAATCGCGCCCGGGATCTCTCGGCCGCGGCGCGCGCGGGGGGGGCCGGCTCGGCGGACGCCGCGCGCGGACGGGATCGGCGCGGCGCGCGTCACGTTCTGCGACGGTCGCCCCGCCCATACGGCGCGTTTCGTGCGCGCGCCAGCAACGGGGGCTA